GGGGAGGGAGAGGAGGGGAAAAGGGAGGGGTGGGGAAGAGGAGGAGAAAAAGGAAGAGGAGGAAGAACATAGGTACCAGAGCCTAAAGTATTGAAATGATGATTTAAGATAATCAGCTCTCTTGACACTTTTTCTGTCACTCTGCCTACCTCTTTCTCTGTCCATTTCTCTCTCCTGTATGTGTACTGTTTCTCATTTCAGTGAGCTTCTTTTCTTCTCCTGTGAATATTATTCTAGACTCTAGGCAGACTTCTTCACATGGAAGCTACATAGCAGCTACTGACAGACACAGTAAAGCAAACTTAGCTGAAATAAAGATCTCCTTCCTCCTGGCATCTTGGATATTAATCCCACGGAAGAACTCTAATTGGTCTGGCTTGAACTGGGCCCTCCCCTTGGATCTATCATTGTTGCCAGGGCAAAATCAGTGAGCTTGGCCTGGGACATTTCTCCACCCCAATGAGTGGGTGGTGTTGGAGAACTATGATTGACAGTTTCTTCAGAATTATAGGAAACGAGGGAGCATGTCCCCAAAGAACAGGGGTTCTGTTCTTGAAAGAAGTAGGAAGAGAATCCAGGAAGTAGAAACAATGGGCCATCAGAACTCACGGGCTGAGTCAGAAGGTGCCAGGGTCACAGTGTCCAGGATCCCTCAGGGCAGGGCCCAGCTGGCAGGATAACAGATGCCAGTTCTCAGGTGTGATTGTGAGCTGGAAGATGAGTCACCAAGCAAAGGTTCAGGACTGAGGTCTGTGGGCAAGGGAGATATGAGGCTGGGTGTCTGGATGGGACTTAGCAACAGGTGCTGGGACTAAGCCCAAAAGGCACAGGGGGCTGGGATTTGGGGCTCCCCCCACCACATGGAGGTACACATCATGAATAGGCGTGGAGATTCCAAGTCTGTTTTGAGGCAAATGAGACTCAGAGGGTGTGTGGGGCATCACAGGGAAACTTCCTTCTGAGTGTGGGTTCGTGCAGCCATGACACCAATAATTTTTGAATCCCCTGACTCTTCTGACTCCTTAGCTGTGTGACTTTGCTCAAGTGATCTGGCCTCATTTAAGCCTCCACTTTCTCATCCCTAAAATCTCACCTCTCAAATCAGTCCTCACTTGGACCGATGTGAGAAATAGAGACAAGGTCTGCAAAGCACCTGACACACCACACTGGAGGTAGACAAGAAATGCAAGCTGCCTCATTCCCTAGATGATGGGTAAGGAAGATAATGTTCATTCAGTGGCTGTATGTGCCCACCAATTTTCACTCATAATTTTTTTTTTGAGTTGGGGTCTCACTTTTCCACCCAAGCTGGAGTGCAGTGGCACGATCACAGCTTACTGCAGCTTCAACTTCCGGGGTTCAGGCAGTCCTCCTGCCTCAGCCTCCTGAGTAGCTGGGGCTACAAGTGCACACCACCATGCCCAGCTAATTTTTTGATTTTTTTTTTTCTGTAAATATAAGGTCTCACTATGTTGTCCAGGCTGGTCTCAAACTCCTGGGCTCAAACAATCCTCCTGCTTCGGCCTTGCAAAGTGCTGGGACTGTAAATGTGAGTCACTGTGCCTGGTCTCCATTCATAATTTTATCCCCTCCCATTTGCCTTGAGAAGTAGGTTTTACTCTCTCCCACTTTAGAGGGGGCAAAGT